TGTTCCCTCTTGCCATAGGGCTTTTTCCGTCCGGTTCACCAGTGGGATTTGAACTCTAGACCTGTCGCTTGGGGGTGACAACCAGACAGCTTCTCTATGTCGCCACACCCCAATGGATCAATAGTTATTCACAAAAACTATTGATTTTTTAGTAATTTTATAAGAAAACATAATAACCAATAGTATTTGGCCAATAAAATTCGATCCAATGATCTAAATAAAATGAAATTGGTATCATTCGACTCCTCTCACCGAGGCGAATCGAATAGTACCAAAATAATTAAATTTGGACTACTGGTTCAATTTTTAGCCAATTTTTTCTAAAAAAATTACGTTATATTTTTTTGACCCCTCTACTTATTGAGAAAACATTATCATTCGTCCAACCCCCTCTTGTATAACATTATTTATGGATGCCCCTAATCGATATATATCTGATTATCAAATATATATCGATTACTATCTCTATTAATAGAAATCAGCAGGAGTATTTAGTATCGATATATATCTTACCCAGTTAGTAATCGATATATATCTATATATAAAATTTGCTGATGATAGTGATTATAATTGATAAATATCTATAATAGTTAATGATCGATATATAATCAATATACAAAACTAATGCATCAGCATTATGATATATCTGCCCCATTATACAATAATTATATCATTAATAAAATTAAAATTTATTTAATAAGTGTGATACATATTCATGCTATATACAAGTTTATTTTTAATAACTAATCGGCCAACTTCTAAATAAAATAATAGCAACAAAAAGCAGCAACTAAATACAATAAGAAAAGGAAAAAATCTCCAAAATCTTTCCAATCGATTAAACTACTACAAACTTCCACCAAAGTTTCATCTATTTATACTCGAAAAAAATACAAAAGGCCCAAAGATCGAAGTTGCTAAATAATAAAACCCACCAAACACAATGATACTAAGGTAGTGAAGGCCTCCAAAGACAACAATGACAATAACGACAATGATACCAAAGTGACTTAACTAGTGAAAATATACTACTAGAAGCATAAGACTTTCGAACTAATTTATTAACAAAAATGTCAAAAGCCTAAAATCCCTTAAACGATGTCAACAAAATAGCAAAAGTAGTATGCCATTACCTTACCGAAAGAATGTCGTCACTTCACCGCAAGGACGTTTTCACTTCATCGCAAGAATGTCATCACTTTATCGCAAGAATATTGTCATTTCACCGCAAGAATGCTGTTATTTCACTACAAGAACGTTATTACTTTACCGCAAGAATGACATCAATTCACCACAAGAACGACAGCGAAATACTAAAGAATGCCACAAGAAACCACCAAAAAAAGTATTAATGTTAGTTGTAATGATATAAAAAAAGATCAAAACATACTGAAAAATACTTATCTTTATATCCAACGTATTTCAGTAAAGTCAGATGGGAAATCTCTACTCCACAATTCTTGGTCTATTTCAGTTTTTAGTTCTTGGCTGCCTCTACTTTGTTAATTTTTCCTAACTTTTTTTTTTTTGAAATTTCCTCTAGGTTTACCCCAAGAGGTCCTGTTTTGCGATCTTTATTTAAGGTCATTGGTCATGTGGACCCAACAGGCCCCCTATATTTTCATTACATATCCTATTTTCTATTTTTAATTTTTGTTCTACGAAGTCTACTCCCTTTTTATCCAGTTTTCCTGGCTGAGTCCAGCCGAACCGTCATTCGGTATGCCCCAACTGAAGGCTTCATTTAGATCAACTTTAAGGAGTTAGTTTACTCTGCTAATATGCTTAGTAGGTCCATTTTTCGTCTACTCAGGTACTCCTTTCTGAGTTTGAATCAGGTCAGGTTTTCCTTGTGGGACTTTTCCTGGTTAGGTGTCATAACACACTTGTTTTTCTTTTTCTTTTATAATGGATGGTCCTTATGTTTACGACATTTCTTGTCAGATATTTCCTTTTCTGGATGCTGCATGACCTTGTAGTTATGTCACGCAACTTATTGTTGCTGTAGTACCATGTCTGGAAACTAGGGTTCCAAACCCGGATCAAATCAAACTTTAGGTCAGATTTGGGTTTGATTTGATTTGAAATCAAACTCAAACCCAAACTATGATTAAAAAAAATATTTGTGTTTGATTTGAAGCAAACTGAGTTTAAAGTTTGCAAACTAGTTTGAGTTTGAATAATATAAAGATCATATAGGCGAAATGTAGCATGCTTCTATCTACAATTTTTTTCTTACTAAGTTAATGATAGATGTCCACTAATTGAAAGTTGTAGAGCTCGTCGAGACGCATCTAACAGTGGTTAGATAATCCAAATTGGTCTAGTAGATAGCAAGATATCGTCAAAAATGATTGACCGACTATATAAAAATCCGTGATGGAGATTACATATAAAAATCACTATAGCGAAATGTGGCTGCTTTCATCTAAAACTTTTTTACTAACTAAGTTAACAACACATGTCCACTAATTGAAAGTTGTAGAGCTCGTCGAGACGCATCTAACGGTGGTTAGATCATCCAAATCGGCCCAGTGGATGGCGAAATATCGTCGAAAAACGATTGGTCGACTATATAAAATCTCTATGTAAACATTGTTTACATAAGAAATTTTATATAGTCGACCAATCGTTTTTCAACGATATACTATCCACTGGGCCGATTTGGATAATCTAACCACCATTAGATGCGTCTCGACGAGCTCTACAACTTTCAATTAGTGGGCATGTATCATTAACTTAGTAAGTAAAAAGATTTAGATGGAAGCACGCCACATTTTGCCTATAGTAATATTCATATGTAATCTCTGTCACAGATTTTTATATAGTCAGCCAATCGTTTTTTGACGATATCTTGCCATCCATTGGACCGATTTGGATGATCTAACCACCGTTAGATGCGTCTTGACAAGCTCTACAACTTTCAATTAGTCGACAAGTACCATTAGCTTAGTAAGAAAAAATGTTTTAAATAGAAGCATGCCACATTTTGCCTATGATCACTCTCTAGTTGACAGGTGATTATCAATTAAATATCTTGTCTAAAATATAAAAATATATTTATGTTATTCAAACTCAAACTAGTTTGCAAACTTCAAATCAAACTCAAATCAAACTTGGTATAGTATTTGGGTTTGGTTTGAATTTGATTATTTTTTATTTGAATTTGGGTTTGATCTCAAACTTTATAAAATTTATAGTTTGAGTTTGGTTTGATTTGGGATTTGATCAAACTCAAATCAAACCTGGATCAAACTTCGGAACCCTACCGGAAACAGGAGATAATCGACGCCTTATCATAGATCTTTTAATATTCGTGGTCCTAATACAGTTTTTGTCATCTACTAGACTCGAACTGGCGACCTTGCAAATACAACCCAGAGTGCTAACCACTGCACTATCTGACCCAGGGTCTATTTTTCCTAACTTAATTACTTCCTCTTGTAATTTTTCTATTTTCTCAGCATGCTGGTTAATTGCTGGCGCTAATGTTTCTAACATCTTGTCTTTTTTGCTATTCCAGTCATCACTTCTAAAAGGTCTGTTTTTGTAAGATGGCAGGTTGGTGGGGTCAACCTTTATGTCTGTATATTTTTAGACTAAATTAAATAAAAAAATAAATAAATAAATACAATAAGTAAAAAAAAAAATAAATATAAAAAAAATAATCAAACCGAAATAAATTACAAAAAATCAAAATGTAATAAATAAAAAAAAAGATCAAAATAAAAAAAAAAGATTCAGTAGATTTATCAATATGCAAAGAGAAGATCTTAAAATTACGATTGTTCCCGATGTATGCTGCAAATAGCTATGAAGGTTTTTGTATAACAGATGAAAATCTAATATCTAGCGATTAATATCCATTAATCGTTATATATCAGTTTTAATAAATATGATAAAAATCGATTAATAGATATATAGCATTTATATTTATTTACGCTATATATCGATTATAGATACAAATCAATATATAACTAGTTTAACAATATATATTGTTAATTTTTAATCAATATATATCGATTAATTGTTATATATCAATATTTATCTATATAAAAATTTCCTGATTAAGTTACTTAATTGATAATCTACCTATCAACTAAAAAGTAATCATAGGCAAATTGTGGGTCTTCCATTTAAAACTTTTTTTCTTACTAAGGTAATAGTACTTGTCGACTAATTGAAAGTTGTAGAGCTTATCAATACGCATCTAATGGTGGTTAGATCATCCAAATCGGCCCAGTAGATGGTGAGATATCATCAAAAATGATTGGCTGACTATATTGTTTTTATAGAGATTTTATATTGTCGACCAATAATTTTTTGATGATATCTTATCATCCACTAGGCCGATTTGGATAATATAACCACTATTAGACGCATTTCGATGAGCTCTACAACTTTCAATTAGTGACAAGTACCATTAACTTAGTAAGAAAAAAAGTTTTAAATAGAAGCATGCTACATTTCGCTAATAGTAATTTTTATATGATCTGTATTACATTAACTATGATCACTTTCCAGTGACTGGTGGATTATCAATTAAAATATAAAAATATATTTATATTATTCAAACTCAAATTCAAACCAAACTTCAAATTTAACTAAAAGTTTGCTTCAAATCAAACTTAAATATTTTTTTAATCATAGTTTGGGTTTGGGTTTGATTTCAAATCGAATCAAACCCCAATCTGACCTAAAGTTTGATTTGATCCAGTTTGTAGGAACCCTATCTACAAACAGTTTTATTAAATCAACTCAGCCATAAAACCCTTTATAATGAAGGTGTCATTGTATGGTTCATGTGGATACTTCGACAGAGGTTGATTCAATAAACTTATTTGTCAAAATATNTCAGCCATAAAACCCTTTATAATGAAGGTGTCATTGTATGGTTCATGTGGATACTTCGACAGAGGTTGATTCAATAAACTTATTTGTCAAAATATTTAGTATAACTTTTTTGTCTTTTTTCAAAATGCAAACTAGGTGGTGAATACCATGTTCAGTTACTTTAGAGGCCACCCAGAGCAAGGAAGAGACACTACTTTTCCAGTCTTTTTGTAGTATGTAACTACATTGTGGACGGTGCTTCTGGATAATTTTAGACTCCATGATCGTTACTTGCTTTACACTACAACTCCATGCACCAATGATTTTATTACATTGTTCGGCAGTAAGTTGTTTTCTTGTTTTCATGATAAAAAAAAAATGAGAAAAAAAAAAACTAGGCACACTAGCGTATTCGAATTATACTATAAAAAATTTTTTTCTATAGCTTGTATAAGAATTTTCAAGAAAAAAATTTTTTGTAAACAATGAGTCATAACCAGTGATCATCACCGATTTTCAAAAATCCCATGATTTATGTCAGGGGAGTGTACATGGTAACCATATACTTTGTGATATTGCATATCACCGTTCCTGGTATAAATCGTTTATAAATCATTTATAGTCATTATGCATATCACTTAATTTTAATATTCCCATCAAAATTTCGTCCTTATGAATTTAACTTAAGGCTATACAAAATAATTCATTGGAGGTAGTAACTGGGTTGTTATATATATATATATATATATATAATTATTATCATAAATTCCAGGACACCTGATAAAACATGTGGCGAATAGGTTTTTGATCGATTCAATTTTGGGATTGATTGTATAGAAAAGAATCCTTGAATCTTTTACATACAATAAGTATCTTTATTCAATATTAGTTACGTAATATCTTATTGAAATAGTAACAGCTAAGATAATTATACTTCAAATATTTTAATAATTTCTCGCTCTTTACAAAATATCTAATGAGCATAAATTTAATTAATAAAATTTATAGAACTTTTATAAATTCGTTTTTAGCATGAATAGTCCTATGTAATTTTGTTATTTCTGGATTTTCTTTAGGTTTCTCTTGTCTAATGGGATCATCTTTGGCGTTTTTTATTTTAAATCTCTGAAATTATCAATATCCATGATCCTTGCATATTCATGTAATATTCACAATATTCGCGTATTCTGGATTCCTTAAATCCAAAAATTTCTTCTAATGGCTCAATCAAAGGTCATATATTAGTATACTTATATATTCAGTTTATTATACTACCTACAATTTGCATTTTAATTTGTTACCCTAATTCAGATTTTGTTTGTCTGAAATCTAATGTGACATCTCATCTCAACAAATTTAAATTTTTACCAATCATGCCAATTTTCTAATTCGGATATTACGTAACATGTACTATCTACCATTTCACCAATTTAATGGAATAAGCTTCTGCTCAAATTGCTTTTTGATTTATCAAAGCATATTCTTGAATGTGCTTCGTTTATTGTTGAATGTTTTCTTTGTTCGATGTACTTTCTTAAATAATTTATATTAAATATTTTTGGGATCTTCTATAGTATTTGTGGGCATATAAAATTATAATATATAAATTTGCTTAACTTAGTTCCAAATAGCCAATTTTTTATATGTAATAATTTTATAATAATTTTATAGACCATCTATACTAAAGATCAACCGTATTTGAATAGTTTAAAATTATCTGAATTTTTATTTTTTCTTGGTTGATTAACTGCTAGTTGTAGTCATTGTCAACCTTTGATTAAATAAAGAATAATTATTAATATCTAACCTCAATATTCTATCGTTTATCATTTATATATTTTTATTTATAAAACTAATCAAAGCTACATATAAAGCATAGAAGATATGTTTGTGTTTAGCAATAGTGAAATCTTTTGGATAGCATTTTGTTACATATTTCTGCATCACTTAACGCAAAGTTATTATTGTGGGAGTATTTATTGAGTGAAATATGTGAAGCAGTGTGAATGGAGGTTAATATGAGGCTGGTAAACGTTGGAGATTGGAACAATAGATGTGATATTATATTTTCGTGTAGACAATGTTACACAATAAATCACGAGAATATAAAGGAAGGACATTTGTAACTATCTTCTTGAAAGTATAAAAGATTTCCTTAGTCATTGAAGGATAAGTACTTATGTTTCTTCTGAACTTTTAATATATAAACAAGAATTCATTAGAAATATTAGTTTTTGAATGGAAATTTGTGAAAAAATTTTAAGTTTTAAAAGAATATATTTATATGATAAGTAATCGTCTGATAATTACAATAAATTGAAAAAATAACAATATATTTATAATTAAAGTTTTTTCTACCCTTTTCTTATTCATAAATACATTAAAGTAACTCTTCAATCTTTGAAATTTTACAGGATTTCCAGTTAATAAATAAACTTGCTTGAAGCGGCTTTGGATCAAATTTATTTTAAGGAAGGCATGAAGCTCATAAAAATGAAAAGTTTCGTATGCTTTAATTTTTTTTTTTAACTTGATGCTGCACATACAAAGATCATGCCATTAAATAACATGAAAGATTGCTCATACACTTGAATCACCACTTTAGGAAATGTTAGAGAAATAAACTCAAGGTAAAATTAAGTACGCTAGAAAGATACATAAAGTATGTGACATCATTTATTTATATAATTGCATTATCACCGTTATTTCATTCTATAATCAGTAGTACCAGATGTTGGAATAAATTCCTGATTTTGTCTCTTATATAACAAAAACCCAACAGCACCCAATAGGACTATACCGGCGGTACCAATACTAATTCCAATAATCAAATCAAGATGACTTGAAGTATCTGGACTTGGAGTATCTGGACTTGAAGTATTTAGACTTGGAGTATAAGTATTTGTAGGGAGAACTGATGTGACCCAGGTGTAACTTACGATATCAAGAACATAAATATAATTACTAAGATCCAAATCAGATGTTGAAGACGCAGATGGATTCAGACCTAAAAATATGAAATTTAAATAAATTTCAATTTTTTAAAAAACAAATAAAAAAACATAAAAACATAAAAAGCAGTTACCAAAAGCAATAATCATATAATCTCCGTATAATGCAGCAGAATGACCACTAAGTTGCGGTGCATTTATTTGAGATAAATTCGTAATAGACCACATCCAAGAACTTGTATCTAATTTAGCAAGATATGGAGTTGCTGGTTTGAGTGTGTCATTCCACATCGAACCTCCATATATAATAATTTCATTGTTTTGTGCTAAAGAAAAAAGTTTTTATTTAAAATAAATATTGATTTTATGCTTAGCATTAATACATGTATAATATATACATACTCAAAACTGCTGAATGATAAGCACGAGTACCAATCTTATCACCACCAGCAACCTGAATAAGATCATGAATTTATAAAATTAACAAAAATTAGATTTAATAATGTCAAGGTGAAAACATACCTTAGTAGACCAACTATAATTTTTTGTATTAAAAGTTTGAATCTATATTTGATTTAACACGAAAGTATTAAAAATTTTTTACAGAAAAGATTAAGTAAAG